GTCCGGTGGGAGGAGCTCCAGGTAGGGTCCTAATTTAGCTGGCCCGGCGACTGCCTGAGGTGCCGCGCGTGTCGGGATCCTCTGGCAGTCGCCGGCCAGCTAAATTAGGACCCCCACCTGGAGCTCCTCCCACCAGACCAGCGCTGACTCGCCGCTGCTCTCCCGCACCGAAGGTAAGTGAAAAAAAACCATAGCGCAAACATCGGGGCATTTTGACAAGTACTTGTCAAAATGCCCTGTTTTTTCCGCCGTCACCCTGCAGCGCCCTCAGGCGGCCGCCTGACTTGCCTTGCGGTAGCGCCGGGCCTGTCTGCTGTCATAAAACCCGAACACAGCATTCAAAACCCGGACTGTCCGGGTGAATCCAGGACAGGTGGCAACCCTATATACACATATAATCAGCTTTATTGGCTGGGTATATGAAGCCATTACGAGCGATTTGTCCTTGGTTTGTGTCTCTGATATCACTGCGCTGCGTGATGCTACAAAAGGGTCAATGCCACAGTCTGGCACAACATTGCTCCATGTCAAGAATGGATGACAGCAGCTCTTCAGACATGTCCGCCATGCTCTTTGAACATGTGACATTGTTTCTGTTTTGTTCCAGATAATACAATTAAAGTGACTTTTATAGTTTCTTCATCTGCCCAACATTATAAAACAGTTGCTTTAAAAATTCTATCGTTTATATTGGAGTTTGTCTAGAAGTAACGGCGCTCATTCACAGCATAGCGCTTGCATTAAGATATTTGGGAGGAATCAGTGAGAAACTGGAGCAGACAGACTCTGGAGCAGTCACCCATAGCAACCAACCAGCTCCTCTTTTCCTGTTCAGTTTAGCTATGCAAATGAAATGAAGAAGCTGATTGGTTGCCATGGGCAACTGGTCCATTAGTCTGTCTGCTCCAGTTTGCATGAATTGCCTCCGTCGTGCGCACGGCGGCCTGCGTTCTTTAGTTTGTGCCACGATGTGCTGCATTTTCAACCTTTTTCAACTTTGCAATAGCCAATAGCAAACTAGCTAATGCACCCGCCCACTGCTGCTGTCAATCAGCAGCGGGGGGACCTGAATTTTTCTATCAGGTCCTCTTCTGCTGATTGAAAGCAGCAGTGGGCGGGTGCATTAGGGGGGGAGCACCTCCCGGAAATGAGAAGGACACCTCCCTGAAAGTGCTTCTTTCAGGTTGGGATCCCTGCCAACGTGAACTGACGACAGGGGACGTACATCTATGGGCTCTGTGCTTGTGTTGGGTGATGTCGCCCGGTGTTGATGACGACAGGGGACGTACATCGTGGGGCTCTGTGGTTGTGTTGGGTGATGTCGCCCGGTGTTGATGACGACAGGGGACGTACATCTATGGGCTCTGTGCTTGTGTTGGGTGATGTCGCCCGGTGTTGATGGTGTGAATGAGCCCTGAAGGGTTTTCACATGGCTGTATCTGGGATGTCTGTGCACACAATCATGCAAAGTAATTAGATTTCATGTTACAGTCATGTGAGGACATTATTACACAGATGGAGGAATACAAGTCTAGAACTTTATTTGTAATGTGCTGATGAAGACACCATGACATTTCCATTGAGTTTTATTATCTGTGATTGTGACATTCGGTGGCCGCGGGTGAAGGAGGTGAATCTCATGCATTGTGGACTAATGAAGGAGTACAGGTACCAGGGTGCAGTCCGCGTAGCCCAATCAGAGGCGGGGCCGCAGCTGTGTGATCACCATGGATACCGCAAGAGCGTCGCTCACTCTATGGTGACAGCCGATTCTGTTTCCGGTGTAGAGAAGCTCTATGGTGACTGTACCGGAAGTTGCAGTGCGCATTCGAAAAGTGCCGCGCTGGTGCTGTCAGAGGAGGTTGTGTGTTTTCACGGGCGGAGAGGAATGTCACGTGATTTGGTGCAGGCGGTAAGTGATGTTCTACCCTCCGCTACAAATACAATGTAACACTGCCTGAGCACACCGACCCGGTACAATGTAACCCTGCCTAAGCACACCCACTCTGATACAATGTAACACTGCCTGAGCACACCCACTCTGATACAATGTAACTAGGGTTGCCACCTGTCCAGGATTCACCCGGACAGTCCGGGTTTTGAATGCTGTGTTCGGGTTTCATGGCAGCAGAAACCCAGACGCAAGATGTCAGGCAGACAGGGACAACCAAAATTAAGATTGGGGCTACTGGCCCCCCACTAAAAACAGTCTCAACTGTGATATTTACATAAGAATGGGTGGTGCTAGTTACATATGAATAAGCCGCGACTCAATCTCCCCAAAAAAATGTCCGCTCGTCGCTAGAGTGTTCGGGTTTCACTTGAAGAAAAGGTGGCAACCCTAAATGTAACCCTGCCTAAGCACACCCACTCTGATACAATGTAACACTGACCAAGCACACCTACTCCGATACAATGTAACACTGGCCGTGCACACCCACCCCGATACAATGTAACACTGACAGAGCACACCCACCCCGATACAATGTAACACTGACCAAGCACACCCACTCCGATACAATGTAACACTGACCAAGCACACCCACTCCGATACAATGTAACACTGACCAAGCACACCCACTCCGATACAATGTAACACTGACCAAGCACACCCACT